ATCCCATGAGCACTAGGACCTGGCTGAGCCTCTTCCTCTGGGGCTGGGGGATCAGGGCTGGGCTGTGGAAGAACAGGATTAACACCTGGTGTAGCCTCAATTACTTCTTGCTCTGGAGGAGCCCCATCCTCCTCCTCGTCCTCCATGACAAGGAGGACATGGCTGGCCATGACATCTACATGGGGCTAGTTCAGAAACTTCAACTAGTACAGAACATTGCAGCCAGGTTGGTCTCCGGTACATCCAGGAGAGACCACATTACACCAGTTTTAAAATCATTACACTAGCTGCCTATCAGTTTCAGGGCTCAGTATAAGGTGTTGGTTATCACCTTTAAAGCCCTACATGGCTTGGGTCCAACCTATCTTCAGGACTGCCTCCTTCCATACAATCCGCCCCACGCACTCAGGTCCTCTGGGAGGAACTTACTCCAGCCTATTAAATCTAGGCTGTCTGCAACCTCCCAGAGGACCTTCTCAGCTAATGCTCCCAGATTATGGAATGGCCTGCTGGACAAGATCTATCAGATTACCAATCTAAACAGCTTTAAAAGAGCTGTGAAGACGGATCTCTTCTGGCAGGCCTTTCCTGACTAGACTTTCCGGCCTGAAGAGTGGGTTTTGCCCTTCCTACTGGGCTTTATAGAAGAATGGAGGGAAATAAGTCACTGCTGAAATAAATCCATATCAAATCCCAGTTGCAGTTTGCAAAAAGGCATATGGAGCCCTGGTGGCACAATGATCAAATGTGCAGTAGTTAAATGCCAGTACTGCAGCCACATGGTTGTGAGTTCAATCCTAGGCAGGGCTCCAAGGTCCATGTAGCATTCTATCCTTTCGTAGGTTGGTGAAGTGAGTACCCAACTTGTTAGGGGGCAATTAGCTTACACATTGTAAACCACTTAGGGAGTGCCACTTCATTGATAAGCAGTATAGAAGTGTACTTGCTATTGCTATTGTTATATGGAGGACATAGAAAACATGTGGAAGAAGATTTGTTGAGCCCAAAATTGAACTTTCTGGCCTTGTTGCAAAATGTTGAAGGGCATAAAGCCAACATTACTCATCAATGTGAGAGCATTGTCCATATGATGAAGCATTCTTGCAGCAGCATCTTGTTGTAGGGGGTGCTTTTCATTGGTAGGACTGATAAACTGGTTTGGCTGAAGGCTGGATGGATAAAACCAAATACAGGACAATTTTAGAGGAAGCCCTCTAGAGATCTGGGACTGCAGTGGAAGTTTCAGCAAGTTAATGACCCTAAACCATAACCAAAGTAACACTGGCGTGGTTTTAAAACAAGAACTTGATTTTCTTAGACTGGCCCAGTCAAAGTGCTAGTCACTGGTGTCATCCATCCAGCCTGACCAAGGAGATTATCACATGAAAAATAAACCCAATTAACCCTTCTGATCTACAGTTGAATACAGAATGCAGCTGGGTATTATCGGCCAGCTGAGCACGGCTTGTAGCTGGGTTTTAGGCGGGATGCAGCCGGGTGGTGGCAACGCCGATATTTTCCATGAGATAATACCTGGCTGCATCCCATATTTGTGTCAGAGTTAGCACCAGCACCTTGGAAAATCAATCAGTCAGTTTGATTAAAGAATCAACAGCACTTTATTGATAGATCCAAAAGTCAGACATGTGCATCACTGTAGATTGGAAGGGGTAAGTCAGGTTTATTTTTTATGCAATAATCTCCAGAGCTGGAGCAGTTTTGCTAAAAAGAATGAGGGAGGGGAATGCAACAGCCAGATGAACAAAGCTGATAAGACATTTACCCAGGAAGTTTTGCACCTGTAATCGCTACCAAAGGTACATTAACTAACTACTGACTCAGGGGTGAATACTTATGCAACCACCAAATGCCAGTTTGCTTTGGTTTACTTAACTTTTGTGCCACAATAAAAATATTTCCTGCCTTCACAGTCTTGCATATCTTGTATGCATCAACTGATAACAATGCCAATTAAGTCCATTTCAATTCCAGATTGCAAGAGAACATGATATGGAGAAGTTGAGGAGCAAGGATTGTCAAGGAAGGCACTGTAGTACTCATAACCAGCCAAGTTACTTTGGCCTATGTGCGTGGTTTTTTTTTTTTTTTTTTTTTTGCATGCCTTCAAGCTGTCTATTGATTTATGGTGAACCATGAATTTGATATGGTTTTCTTAGGCCCCATCAAAAAAACCAGTTCCTTCCTCTGAAATACAGCCTACAGCACCTGCTATTCATTGGTGGTCTCCCATTCAAGTAATAACCAGAGCTGACCCTACTTAGCTTCCACAATCAGATTAGATCTAGTGCCTTTAGGGTATTTGGGTACATGAGAAAGAAAAAATCCTACAAGCACATCGTCTCTAGTAGTCAGAATACAATAGCAGATTAAAGCACCAACAATCTGCTGTGCTTTAGTGACAGCCATATTCTGCTGCTGAGGCAGTTGCCAAACTCTGCCTAATGACAGGGTCAGCCCCTCAGTAGGCCCTTGTTAAGAGCACAGAAGCAGGACTGGTATTGTTTTGTAAGGGCAACCAAAGAAGAACTCAAGCCAATGCTAGCAGAAAGGAAATCAAAAGTAAAAATTATAGATTATTCCCCTGCCACTTTTTCTTGAAAAAGTCAAATGTCCTCAATCTCCTCATTCCACACACCCCCATATACATTTATTATTTGTTGCTATATGCCTTCACGTAGTTTCTGACTTATGGCAACCCTGAGGTGAATCTATCCCTGGTTTTTCAGGAAGATTTGTTCAAGATTTGCTATTGTTTCCTCTGAGGCTAGGAGTATGTAACTTGCCCAAGATCACCCAGTTGATTTCATGGCTAAGCTGGGAACTGAACTCAGGTCTCCAGAGTCATAGTCCAACACTCAAACCACTACGCCACACTGGCTCAACTCTATACACATAGGATGTAAATAATTAATTAATGCCCCTGCCTTTCTTCTGATTGGGTTCCAAGGCAGCTAAAAACCTAATAATTTGTTTTTTAAAAGTACCATATTAAAATATCAATAATTTAAAACAATGTAATATTATTTTAAATCATAGTAACAATCAAAGTGATGCACCCATACCTTACCCCAACTATATATCTTTTTGCAGGGGTAGGCAACCTTTCCCCTTTAAGGGCGGAGGAACTTCAGCTCCCAGAATCCCAGGAGCTATTGGACAACATGAGACTATTGGCCAACATGGCTGAGGCTTCAGGGAGCTGAAGTCCCTTGGCCCTTAAAGGGGAAAGATTGCCTACCCCTGTCTTTTTGCATAGCTATTTAACTGCCAAATGTCTATTTATATAAAAAGGTCTTTATCTGCAAGTGGAAGGAGATCATGGAGAAGATCAGCCTATTTTGACAGCCTGAGAGCAGCCACTGAAAAGGCTTTCTGCATCCTCACCAACTGTACCTGCAAAAGTGGTGGGACTAAGAGAAAGCCCTCTCCCAAAGATCTTAAATATTAGGCAGGCTGAGATAGAGAGATGGAGTCTTTCAGACATTCTGAACCTAAGCACCACAGGGTTTCCTAGCTCAGAACTAGGACACTGAATTGGGCCCAGAAATGATGGTTGCCTTTTCTCCCTAACTGCTGTGTGAGAAATGAAAGACAAACCACTTTCCTTGTTCTGAATCCCCATGCTAGAAAATTATGTATTGGTTGAACTACTGCTTTTCATAGACTTTTTAAAAGCAGAGTTTCAGTGAAGAAAACCACTTTATATTCAGTAGAAGAGCAGTAACCCTCTGTCTTGAAAGACAGAATTATTAGCAACATCTGCACAAATTTATATCATTGGTAAGGATACAACTTAAGTCTTTTTCTCGAACCAAGAAGTTTAAAATATTGGCAGGACACCTTAGCTTAGAAAAGAATATGTTGAGGGAGGGACATAATGGAGGATTATAAAACTTTGCATAGTGTCTTGAAAGTGGCTGGTTATCCAATATGGACAATTCCATGGAGAATTACCTCCCATAAGTGAAATTGGAAGGGGAGCAATCTCTCCAGGAAGCTGGGAAACACTCAACAACTAGTGTTCAGGAAGCACAGAAAGCAAGGGGAAGAGAGGGAGGGCAGGAAAATGATACTGTGGGGCCTATGAGCCAGCATGCTGTAGTGCTTTGATCACTGGACTACAATAATGAGAACAGGGTTTGGATTCCCACTCAGACATGGAAGCCCACTGGGTGACCTTGGGCAAGTTACACTCTCTCAGCCTCCGAGGAAGGCAAAGGCAGAACAGTTGGGAGGCATTGTTGAATATTGCATTCAAAAGATTATTGGTTGTCTAATTTATTCACAATGAAAGTTTTAGTGGAAATATAGACAATGTCAAATATGCAATAAAGCACAGATTGAAAGCATTCTATTTGGTCCTAAAACATAGGATGTTTTAGGAGAAACTAGTTTCTTTGGGGAGATTTGGAATGTTTTAATCATTTAATTATTATGATTTTATTCTGTTTTAATTGTTAATGGATTTTAATCATGTTATTTGTTTAATAATGTTTTAAGAGGGGGAGAATTGTTCTTTATTGTAATTGTGTTTTATGTTGTAAACCGCCCTGATTGGGCAACCATTAGGCGGTATATAAATAAATTTTATTATTATTATTATTATGAACAAATCTTGCTAATAAAACCCCATGATAGGTTCGACTTTAGATTGCTACAGTTTGGAAATGACTTGGAAGCACATAATAATAACTATAGCAAAATACTGGATTTAGGCCAATGGATTAAAAAAATAGATTTGTATTGCTTAATATTAGACCCTAGAGTGGTCCAATGAAATAGCCAGGTGGCATATTCAAGACACATGGAAAACAGTATAGATTTCTTCACACAATAGCACATAGTTAATGTAAGAAACATGCTCCTGAAAGATGATGTGAAGGCTGATAGCTTGGAAGGCTGTAAACAGGAATTTGATGTGTTCTTGGAGGATACAGCTATTAGTCATGATGTCTATATGGAACTCCCATGTCCATGTGCTGTATATCAGTTACAGGGAGGACAAGCAAAGGTAACTATTGCCTTCATATATTACTTGGGGCTTTGTGTAGGCATCCAAGTTGCCCATGATAGAACGCAGAATGCAACACTGGATGGATTTTTGGACCAATTCTCCTATGTCATAAATCTCATCAACATCTGTAATTGTCCTGTTGCAGCAAAGACAAGGTAACAATAGCGTCTCCAAATTGTTCTCCTTCTGGTTTTGCTGGTTGCCCCATCAACCCACCCCAATTCTTGCCCATGACAACAGGGGACAGCCTTCCCTTCCAAAGCTCCAAACATTTTGGCAATGGGACTTTCCAGGATACCATCACTATCATCATATGCTGTCTAATATTATTGCTTGCTAAATTTAAAAACAAGTTCTCTGAGTGGTTCATAAAGCAAACACAACACTAAAATGCAATACAAAATGTGAAAATTATTACAATTATGAAACTAAAATCAATATATTTTATCTTAAAATAAATATTTTAAAACCAAGAGACTTAGAGTGAAAAAAAATACTAGAACTCCAAAGATCACAATAATGGTGCCAGGCAAACATTCCTGGGAAAGCTGTTCTGTAACCAGAGTGCCTTTACCAAAAAGGCTCCAGTAGTTACCTACTTCATTTCATTTGGCTTAGAATGTGGGGGACAGCTTCCAAAGAAGATCACACATGCATACTCTGGGGATTCAACACAAATGTGTGATTACAGCTCTCCCCGCCAAGTAAATTCTACAAACCATATTCTTTCAGTTTGGGAAAAAAAAATGTGGTTTCTTTTCTATTAAAGAAAACACTCTTTTAAATGTAGATATGGATAAAAATCTAAGGAATAACAGCCAGAGCACACCCACCCAGAGGAAAAAAGTACATGCTGAATTGCTTTAAATTTGCTGATAATCTAGGGAAGATAATAATAATAAAAAATTAAATGCTATGCACGTGACTGCCAACAATAAGTCTAACAAAGAGAACTGTTCCACAACTCTCCTTTTAGTGCACCAAACACCTAAACACAAGCCTCTCTTATTTTTTTGTTGAAATGAAATTTCCACAAATGAAGTATTCCTGAAAAGAGCTTCCCAAGAGAAATGTCGGCCTAGATTAGCTGCCATCACCTTCAGTTTTCTGCATAAGGAAGAACATTCCTTCTTTATGACACTTATTTCACCTATGTCAAAAGGAAATTTCCTGGACTCACTTGTTTCAAATGGTTGGAGGAACAACTGCTAAATGTTTTCTTTGTTCTGCTGCCTCCATATCTATGTATTATAATCATACACACACGGACTTACTTTTCTGGGCTTGACTTTATCTTGTAAATCGTACTGGCCAATTCCTTTATAACTGATCCCAAGCCACCAAGGGATTCCTTGTTTATCCTGTAGATCAGAAGAATACAAACGGTGAGGCCCAAGTCAGAGTCAAGAACTGCTGAGTTGATAGAACATTTAACTACTTTGTTCTGCAACAAGTATCTGCAGGTTAGGCAGCTCTTTGTTAGCACACCTGCAGTTACCCGAGCAAAGGATTATTGTTTAAAGTGGTCTGCCATTCCTTTCCCAGCTGGAAAATGCTGTGCAAACAGGCAGAAAGCAATAGGAAAAAGAAGCTGCATTCTTTGAAGGGGGGGCACTACAGGCAGGGCAGGAGTGCAGGAAAATCTGTGGGCAGTAAAACATCAATAACAAGAGAGATTTGGGGAGGGATGTGTCCAAAGTACAGCTGCACAGGACCACAGTTGAAAGGAAAGAATAGGCTATGTACACAGGCAACACAATCCTATGCATATTTACTAATACATCCCATTCTATTTAAGGTTGCAACCTACCACCCATAAATTACTTTACATGCAAAACACAGAGAAAGGAAGTAGGTAAAAGACCAATTCGTGCTGTTCTAATTTCTTTGCTCAGAGAAACTGTTAAAAAATCCAGTTTCATAGGACTCTGCTTCAGACAAGAATATAGCAACAGGTAATATTTTACAGCAAATAAGTTATTTCAGTAATCCTTACAACACTCCTGTCACTTAAGCTATGATTAGTATTAACTTATTCCAAATGGAAGACTGAAACTAAAAGACTTATGACTTGGCTAAGTCCATAGAAAAATTAATGGTGGCTGTTGGCTCCCATATTCCAAATTTTATGAAGCAGTTCTGGGAACTGTAGTTTCGTGAAACATTTAGCTTTCTCTAGCAGAGAGCTCTGGTGCCACAATAAACCACAATTCCCAGGATTCCCTAGCACTGAGCCAGGGCAGTTAAAGCAGTCTCCAACTGGATTATTTCTGCAGTGTGTTTTGGACCTAAAATGTTGAACTGGATTTTAGTTCAAACTTTAAAGAAATTATCCAAGGTGTTCAATCTATTTTGGATCTAGTGTTCAGAAACTTGGATCAAGTTTGGATTACAATCCTGAGCAGAGTCACCCCTCTAATGACATGGTTACTGCCAGCCATTCTTTATGGCAGAAGTGAACAAGAACTTTCTGGTTCACAGTAAGCAAACCAACCCTACATAGTGTCCAAGACTATATGTGTCACTTAAACGTATCCACTCAGCAGAACAAGAACAGCTTAAAATTGTTTTGTTAAACATTCCAGCCTCCACATCAATACAGCTGTGTTAGTAATGAAGGTGGCTGCCAATCTACATCTGGCCTCAATTCAAGGTTCTGGCGATGACTTTCAAAGCCCTAAATGACCTGGGATCTTGATGCTTGAATGAGCAGATATATATGCCTGGCCAAGGATTGGAATCTGCCAAAAGGGCCCTTCTCTCATCAGTGACATCCCACTTGTTGCAGCCTGATTAGAATCAATATGGGTTTCTTTTAGGTGCCAGGTTAAGATGTGGCTTTTTATTAAACCTTTGAAGCCTAA